AAGTAGTTGTCAAATCACCTCTCGGTCAACGCTGCACTATCGAAGGCCTTTTCAAAGGTTTTAGTATAAAACAGATTTATTTAAATTCTGCATAAATGATGTAATGTGTCCAGTCAAACTATCCAATGCAGTCCTGCAGGAAGGAAGTCAATCATGAGCACCAATAACTCAATGGTGTAACATCTCTAACTGCATCATTGGGTAAGTTCGAATCTCAGAAGAGACATAAGTTCCTTCAGGGTTGCAGATACACTTTGCTAACTGCTGAGTGCCAACTTGCACGAAACCTAGGTTCAAGCAGGGCCTTCTGTCGATCGCCATCAACCATCTAATATCATCAAATCAATTTACACTGTGATGGCAAGCTGCCTAGAATGGTGGCCACATTGAAAACCTGATAGACAGAATTCAATCTGCACCAAACAGAGGACTAGACACATCATACTAGTTACTATTGTCCAATCAAAGTAATGGTATCTCCTGACAGCCACTGTCGTCACTAGTTGTCAGTTTACATCTCTAACAACTAGCCACGACAGTCGTTGCCAGCAGACACAATTATATCATTCATGGGGAATTTAAATGATTCTCACCTTATACTAAATCTTGCGTTGAAGATGTTGTCCAGAAGGACGACGAAAGCTTCTGGATTAAATCAACCAGCTCAGAAAACACAATTAATTCAATGTCATTTGATATAGTTGGATGAATAAAACAATAAAAAGTGCTGAAGAGTTCCAGCACTTTGGTGGATGGAAGTTTTGGAAGCTTAGTGATTTAAGCAGGCCTACTGGACTGTTCGATGAGAGGAAAGTGATAATAATAAAAATTACTGTGATTATACTTAAGGGTTTCGAGCCGAAAATCGGGATTCATCAATACATCATTATTTCACTCTGTTCTCAGCAACCTTTCTAGCTATCTCTACTATTGTCGATAAGGTTTCATTTCTCACTCACATATATTATCTTCCACATCATCCCACGACCAACACCCAAACGTCGTCTTTTCTCATTAGGGTTCCATTCAACGCTCCTATAAGCGTATATTGCATAGGTCTCCACTTCCTTTGACATATTTGTTAGGTGATAGGTCCTTGGTTGGCCTTTATGGTTGAATCCTAATGTCATTATCCTGGAGGAGATTGCTTCCTAGTGAATAAGAGCCTCAGATGCTGTTGGTGACATCATTACAGTCACTCCCTAAGTGTATTAGTGATTGTCATCTGCGTGATCGGAGTAGAAATCAGTCACTATCCAGTTAACAATCCGGAGTGTCGAATACCATTCCATTTGCTCTGACAGATTCCTAGAACTTCTGTACCATACCTATACATTTCTTCTGTCACCTGTGGAACATTTCTGGGCTAAAACATGGTGCAGACATCTAGAACCACACTATGACTATTGTTTTTGTTACCGATCGAATGACAACACATGGCTTGAATGGTCTCCCGAAGGCTTTCACCGCATGCATGCGTCATTTGTTATCGCCGACTTCAGCGAAGAAAAAGCAATTCGGACCTCTGCAAAAGCAAGATAGGTGTTCAGAAATTGGCCGATAAACTCGCCTGATCGTATACCTAATATTAATAGCTCCTCAGAAGCTGTTGAATACACATGAAAGAAGCGAAACAGGGCAGTTTGTCTTTATTTTTTCGGCTAAGTATTACTTGGCTAATGAATAAACGGCATAGCTTAACTGAGTTGAAAGTCCTATTAGAAGCCCTTCTCAGACGTTTTAATAAAATCTCCCTATTGAAATCACTCGTGAATTATAATCTTAGGAAGACTAATTTTTTTGGAAAGGGTAGCTTTGATCGTAAGTGCCTGTGTTCCATCTGCCGTGTGAAGTGGCATAACAGGGTGAGGAATATTGAGGATATAAGTATAAAACTTGGGCACTGTGGTAGTAGAACATAACTCCATTATGGATAAGATTTTGTTTGATAAATCACACAGTGTTGTTATACAGTAATATTAGCTGATGACCACGTTTCGAGCACAAACTATCACTGCTCATAATCAACTTGATATGATTGTGAGCAATAGTTTGTGCTCGAAACGTGGTCATCAGTTAATATTACTGTACAACACTGTGTGATTTATCAAAATAAAATCTTATCCATAACGAATATTGAGGATAGGCTACGGTCGAGTACTAGGTAAGGAGAGGAAATCAATCGATGAGGTTGTGAAGTTACATCGACTGAGATGGTTAGGGCATGTGTTACTCAGGTCTTCCCCCAGGCATCGCCTTCTTCGACAACAGGCAATGTTAACCGATGACATAGGAAGGATGGATCAAGTTGGAAAGGAGCTAGTAGTTGTGGTCAAACCAAAACATGGCTTCATCAGTCAATGAAATCCACAACAGTTAGTTTAAGCCAGATAACTAGCTGTGTAGACTTCCTGGTTGGAGCCCTCAGGACAGTAAAAACCAATGGCTGGAAGCAATAGGTGGTATGGCTCAAAGTCGTCCTCAATGGTGCAGATGCATCCACTCCTTTTAACTTGTAATACCCAATAAAACTATATTGTTTTTCGATATTACTATTCTTTTACCTCATATCTGTGTTTCATATCTCTATTTTAATGTTGTTTTTTTCACTTTCTTCTTCCTCTGTGGCTTTGTGTGCTGAGTGAAGTGTGGCAACTCGAACTGCTGCACATCGGTACAAAGTTCTATGTTAAAAGCAGTCAGCCAACCTACGTGCATATACTCATTCACATACTCATATGAAGCTGATTACATAGGATGCTGTAAGCGTGTTCTCTGTAAACCCGTTGTTGAACACTACCCGGTTCAGCTAATGAAAGGTAAGCATATGACAAAGAAGTCCTCAGTTTGTAAACACCTTCTGGAGTCAGGTTGTTCAACGCCATGTGACCTATCCTTCAAAGTTATTTACACGAACAAAAATCCCACCACTACAAAAGTTTATGTTTTCTCCACTTATGCATAGCCAAAGCTCTACCCATACATGGACAGAAACATATATTATGTGTTCAAAAAACGTTTTTGTTAAATCCCTTTCTTTACCTTGGTCATAATAATTTCATTTTATTTTATTCTATGTTACCAATTGAATTCATTCCGCTTCACTTCATCTTCGCTGTCTTTTACTGTTATCATCATCATCGTACTGTTAATTTTTTAGACAACACTTGATCTACAATCTTAATATTTTTATAACAGTTCATTTATTTAGTAGTCTTTAATAGTTTTGTAATTCCTCCACTCTAAATCTACCCCCCTTAAGACATCATTTTAATTATCTTTATTCTTATTATATGTGCAATATTGACTGAACAACTTCTAGTGCAGCCAATTTGCCTTCTTTTTCCGTAATATAATAACGACTGTACAACTGAACAAGAAAACTGTGTTTTTCCTAATAATGGAAATGATCTTCCCACTGATGATGTCATCATCTTAGTCTACTGAGTCCAGTTGGTTTGATATAATGGATATTATGAATTTCACCCCCTGGAGGCTTCATTATAGGTCACTATTTTCAATTCTTGGATATGGGGGGGGAGGGGTGGAGGGAAAGAAAAGGAATGTCGATGAACTCCAAAGGACAGTTTATTGTTGCGTTAACATCATACAATCCTAAGTATGGTCTGAGAGATAACGAATGAGGTTCAGTGGCACAGGGAATTATCGCATATATATGCGTATACACACACAGACACACACACACTTAACCATCATTATAAGCGCTTTCAATGTCCTCAAATTCCATTTCACCTATCCACATTTCACTAGTCACTTATTAAGTAGTGTAATCCAGCAGATCACAAAAAAAAACTGTCGACAAGTATGAATACACTACTCACTGCAAATAAGTAATACATCACCAAAAAAAGACTATAAATTAAAATGATATTATAATTATAAATTACATAGCAGTAGAATGTAAATCACAGTTTGAAATGATAATAATGTTGGCACAATAGTAAATCAGTAAGTAATACAGAGAGACAAATTAAAATGGAATTAATGTTATCGGTTTCATTGGTTGACTGAGTGAATCGATAAATGTGTGCGCTGTTAAAAATCCCGTTGTAATAATCACAAATTCAATATTAGCTGAAATAAAGGCAGGAAGAGGAGAAAAAAAGAAACCCCAATATATAATATAAATAATCCCCGACATCATTTTTGAAGAAATTATAATCGACAAAGAAAATATTTGTTTAGGGGGGTTAGACCACGGAGTGATATATCAGTTAGAGAACCATTGAAAACTAGCGGGGAGTACTGGATGACTGTTTTGTCCTAGCCTGTGACTCATCGACAGTGCTCACCCACTGGGTTTTTAGACCCACGAGGCGAGTTCGGGGACCATTCAACCACCGGGACCGAACTTCTTAATGGTTAGCCTATGAATTCTGACTTCTGATAATTCTTTCTTTTAGCTAGCTTGTGACTGTCCATCCAGTTGGGAGAGAGGACGGAGTTCTCGCCGATGACACTGGCTGGTGGTCTCACTAGAATCACGAATGTTAGGCGTGCGATTCGCTCCCGCCAAATGTAAGATGATGTTACAGGACTGGACTACACTGACTCCTAGTTTAGAAATAGGAAGTGAAGTGGTAGAGCACGTTGACCACTTGACTTATTTGGAAAGTTGCATCAGTCCCAAAGGCTTGATTTCTGACGAAATCTCAGCACGATACAGAGAGCTAGTTTCGCATATCCCAGTTTACGCCGCCTCTGGTGTAAACGTGATATCAGGCTGGTTGTCGACCAAAGGGCGTGTGTACTGCTCATCAGTCCACTCCGTCCTCCTTTATGACTGTGAGCGAGACCTTCCCATTGAGAGTGGAAGACACTAGAAGACTAGCTGTCTTCGATCATAGTTGCTTGCGCTCTGTCTCCCGTGTGAATTGGTGTAGTAAGGTGAGCAATATTGAGGTCAGGCCTCGGTCGAGTGCTAGGTAAGCAGGGGAAATCAATCGACGAGGCTGTGAAGCTACATCGACTGAGTGAGATGGTTAGGATATGTGTTATGTATGCCTAGTCATCGCCTTTCTCGACAAGCAATGTTATCTGATATAGGGTCAGGCTGGAAAAGAGCTAGCCAGTGGTGGTCAAACCAAAACATGGATTCACCAGTCAATCAAATCCACAACAGTTGGTTTACGCCAGCTAGTCACGCAGGAGGGTGTTGATTTCCTTACTGGTTGGCGTCCTCGAGTCGGTAAAAACCAATGGTTGGAAACAATTGGTGATATGGCTCAAAATCGTTGTCAATAGCTGGCATAGATGCATCCACTCCTTGTGACTTATGATTTTCAATGAAACTATATTGTTCTTCGTTATTACTATTCCTTTGTCTCACACCTCTGTTTAGTGTCTCTCTATTATGCATCTATTCTGCTTTCTTCTCTTGCTTTGTGTGTTACAAGGTGGGAGTGTGGTGACTTGAACTGCTGCACATTTTTGGAAAGTTCTATGTCGAAAACAGACAGACAGAAGAACACATCCAAAATACGCTGGTCCAAATGGGTTATCCTAGTAGATTTGTAAAGAGACACATGAACATCAAGTGCAATAAAGAGAAACTGACAACAGTTGAAAAGAAAAAAACTGTTCATGAAACTGCAATCCAATGGGGACGCGGCTAGCGAAGTCTATGAGCATCCTCATTCATGGTTCGGAAAAAGTCAAATAAAATCTATAAGAAGTTCTATTTTGGTTCATTTGATTGATGATAGCGGTCACCAAGTGGACAAAAATAGTGCTTTCAAAGTTATCTATCGTATTCCATCGAGTCTTTCGAACGGAATCAGAACCCGTCTTTTACACTTAGCCGAAGCTATGGGAAGTAATTCGAGAAAACAATCCCAGTCTCTGCATACATCAAAAGAAGATTGTTCTACCTTTGTCTCTCCCTTATTTAGCCTAGGTGAATTCTATTCAGAACCCTCGCATCCTTTCTTATTTTCCATCTACTTCGTACTTTTATGGTATTTATTTAAACTTTGATTATCTGTCCACTTCACCTTTAGTATTACGTAACTTTTAAGATTTGACCTAATATTTTTATTTATTGAATTGTCTACATAAACACACATATTAGTACCTTTGTTATTTTTATCACCACCAGCATAAACCTTATTATCAATAATTGGTTATCATTGTAATCATCGTTATTAACTACGTTCAAAACATTTATCACATTATTATTGTTGTTATTATTATTATTTGATCCACAAAATTGAAAAGTTTTTATATATAAATCTATGTAAATTAGAGTAAAGCCTGAAGAAGATCTAATTGAAAACAACAATATTGTTCGCTTATATGTCTTGTTCTAATATTATAAATGGGAATATTTAAAGACATACATAGAAATGACACAAAGCCAGCGTAGATGAATCCTTCTCTATATTATACCGGGTGCCAAACAAATTACCAAAAACATCGAAGCACCGCAGGCTTCAAACAGCAGAGGCTATTGCGATTCGCCTCAAACAACCAACACTCTGTGTCCCAAAAGAAGCAAATCCAACCCCTACTATTGCCCTGGCCTTCAGTAGAAGCTATAAACTCATGGATTTGTAATATTATCCTTCCTAATTCTTCTGACATTCAGCTTATTCTATGTTGATGCGATTCAGGTGTAATCTATCAATATTACTGATTTGATGTTATTTAAACAGCCTTAATGTCGTTTATAACACTAACTCATTCATTCACTATAATGTATGTATAAATGTAGAGCCTTATGATGAAGGGGTTATCGAAAAGAGTACTCTTTGTTCAGTATCCATTCTTTTGAAAATTTTAATGGGCATTTTTAATCAGTAGAAATGACAACATTAAATTCCTACTACTTGCATTACTTACAGTCTTCAACAGCAGCCAATGTTCTTAAAGTTGATATTTCTGCATGCGTTACACCGCCAACAAAACCAACCACAATAATACGTGGTTTATTGAGATTAGTTTTTGTATTTAACAAACTATTACCAATGCTACTGTTATTATTATTATTATTAATGATATTACTTGATTCGAAAGGCAAATCATTATTCACTGGTAGTTGTAGCTCCTCTAACTCGGGAGCATTGATGACATGTGATAATGAGTGTACAGCTGGTGTACGATTCACAGGAAGTGTAGATAATGTTGAATAATTAGGCAGGGAAACACGTTGTTTACTACCAGCACTGCTAGCTTCCCCTCCACCTCCTGCTCGTCCCCCAGCATGATTAAAACCAAATGTCATATTTTGTTCATCCATCTCGGGTAATACAGACATTTCTAAACTATCTTGTGATCGAAGACCTGACAATAGGCGTGTTCCTGACATTATAGCATTAGTAGCTTTTGATAAGAAGAGATTACTTGATCCGACACCACCCCCACCACTGGTGGTGGAAAGAGGATTATTACCACCAGTCATCATCGGTGGAGGATTAACAGACGAAGATAGATTTGATTTTGGATACCAATTATTTGTCAATATTTGAATAAGACGTGTAGATATAGGTATATATCCAGAGAATATATTGCATAAAGCCTGTTCCGTATCGCTTAGATGATGATTAGGAAACGATGGTATTAGGCGTAGATTTCCTTTCAATGCAGAATTATAACTCATGCTTATATTGATAATTGTTTGTTTTAAACTTGTAGGCAATTTAGAATTTGCTGGATTATTATGCCTTAGATTAATTTTTTCTTGTGGTGTAAAATTTGATGTTTGTAGACTAGTCAGTAGATTACTCGATGATTCGTGAAGTAGGCCAACACGTTCCAAATTATCCAAAGTGAAAATATGCTCAAAACCATACACCTTGAGAGTAGACAAAAAAGGAGAAAGCAAAAGCAAAAAATTAAGAACAAGGACAAGGTGTCAAGGATATGAATTATTATTTAATTCAATTTTAGATTTTCCTGTCGATTGATTGTCTTAGGCTAACGTGTCGGCTCGTTGCGCAGATGCTTTGTCGATGCCTCGGCATGTAAATATAAGTTAATTGGTGGATGCTGACTAGCAGTGGAATCCAGGACGCGAACTTCGGCCTATTTTGAACCCGTCATCTGGATGTACCTGCATCCCTCAGAGAGTGATGATGCTCCCACCTAGGGCCGAACCCGGTGCCAAGGCGTTATCCGCTAGACCACTTGGGCCACGAGACCCGCCTTCTGTGCAACGGGACATATTAATTATTTAATTCAATTTTGGATTTCCCCGTCGATTTATTGAACCAAAGTGCTCGGTTCGAGCGTCGGTGGGAACATCATCACTCACTGTGGAATGTAGCCACATCCAGATGACGACTCCAAATAGCACAGCTGAAATGCGCATCGTGGATTCCACTGCCAGTCAACAACCACCAATTAACTCCTAATGATATGAATTATTGTCGATCAGTGGATTTATGCTAGACGGAATGTTCGTCAGGTATCCAGGCTTTCCGGTTTGGACAAATTCCTAAACCTCCTCCATTTAGCAGTTAACTAGTAGATAGTAAGCTCGGAAAGTACGACACTTAGTGCGTTAGAGGCTAACTAACAATAACATAAGAGTTATTGTACCTTCAAAGTTTGAAACCGTATGTTCTAACTCGGAATGCACACAATGAACGGGAAGTTAAGACGCTCGGGCATAACTCAACACCTGCTCCTCATACAGTCAGTCTGTCAACTCTTGCATCTTAAATATTCTTCTATATTGTTCATCCTTACTTATTCTTTCTTGGGTTGTTTGACAGAAAAGACTATTTCATCCTTCGTATAACTCTGAAGACTATCAGTACGACGAGTGGTGATTTTCCGTTGGGCTACATCCTTGACATTATCACTGATGATAGGCGCTTAATAATTTCATGCAATACATTGGCTAAGGGGATTTTGTTAGACTGTAAGCGTTCACTTTACCCACAGCTTTCACCTTGCGTCTCCTCCTCCTTAGATAGACCAAGAAGTCATTTCAATAGACTTTATGAGCGCACGTCAAAGCATATAAATTCCAAGATACTATGTTTGGCATGCACTTTACGTGATGAAAGTAGTGTTAGGCACCAACTGACTAAATGATCTTTTTTCAATTATTAAATAAACCATTTCTTCCATCAGGTTTCACTGTTTTTAATCCTATTATATTTATAGTCCTCACCACTCTATGTAAACAGAACACCAGATTCAATATTCTATAACAAGCAGCATAGTTGACCGGCTGGTCATCTGTGGGAACCACCTTGTCTTATTCGCTAGCAGTACAACTTTGCTCACCAGACACAGTGTAAACACCTCACAGTAGGACAGAGACTGTTTTTAGTCTAACCACTATGCAATCGGCCTTTTCCAGCATGGTAGGACCTACAGTAACATTAAATCCAGCCAAGATAGTTCGTTGAATCATTAAGACATAAAAGCCTGATCAACCCATAATAGATAGCTGCTATTGTGTGTGTGTGTACCCCCGGCTCTAAGGCTCATTTCTCATGCGATAGTGAGCGTCTTCCGATGAAAAGTTGCGCTATGTCACGAATTGGCAGAAGTTAGAATTCCTGGGCTGGCCATTGGATCGGGTCCCAGTGGCTTAATGGCATACGAGCTCGCTAGCCTTGTAACCAGAAGGTCCTGGGTTCGAACCCTGGTGGTAGGTGCGTACTGATGAAGAGTCCCAAACTAGGACGAAACAGCTGTTCAGTACTCCCAGCTGGTTTTCCAATGGTTCTCTAACCAATGTCAGCTCATGATAAAATCCTGTAACCAACCGAATTCCTACAAACGAACACTTAAAGACAAAATACAATTATGCCATAAATTCCTGAGACTGTGATGACTGACTAGTGATCGAATCAGTCTTCATAAGGTATACGAGAATACACAGAAGAAATTTAGAAGTGAACTTGAGATTAATACTGGAGCTATTATTATTATTATTACTGTGTCTCTGTCTAGTCTAATATGCGAAGAATAAACTGATCAACTCACCTGTATAATTTCATTCTTATAATATTCTAAAAGTCGTTGTTTCAAGCCTCCATTACAAAATGATTGAATACAAATCAACCGAAGAACCTATAACACGAAGTAGAAGGTGTGTGTGTTTAGTGAATCACACAGAATAAACAAACAGTAGAAGATGAAAACAAGATTTGAGATATTTAGACAATGATGAAAGGGTGGGGGTGAGTGAGTGAGATGTGGTGGGGGGTGGTGGTGGTGCGGGAGTTACATTCATATTCAAGGGTAGATCATGTCATGCTGTACACAGAGACACCTACTTGTATGAGGCATAAAAAGCCACATTGACAGGTGTAGACTGCTTGCTGGCTGGTTGAGGTTCTCAGGACGATAGAAACCAATGAAGGCTGAAGACAACTGGTGGTGATATAGCTGAAAATCCTTCTCAATGATTGAGGCAGATGTATTCGCTCTTTGCGACTTATCACAACCAATGAAATTCTATTGTTCTTCCATATTAGTGTGCTTTTTCCCTCACTCACACTTCTGTTTATTATCTCTCTGTCTCTTTTGAATCTGTTTTTACCCTTTTCTCTTGCTTTGTGAGCTACACGGAGAGATATCGGCGACTTGAACTGCTGCACATCTGTGCAAAGTTCTATGCTGAATCTAGTCAGTCAGTCAGTTAGTCTATGAGGTATAACCTATGCAATGGGAGTTGTTCAACCAATTTACAATGAGACTATCTAAATATGAATATGAGAGTGAAAGCAGGATGTGTTCGTGCGTGGATTAATTTCCACTTATTCACCAGTTTACAGCTTTAAGCAAAAAGTTGAAGTTTCGATATAATGTTGCAATAATAGTAATAGTAATTATTATTATTATTACTACTATTCTCTTTGGTTCCGAGTGGAACATAGGGAACTTCAGTAGCACATGTTAATTCAGGATGTCCACTGCAGTCTACTGTAACTGACTCAACAGTTGACCCCATAAGCTTTCCATTAATCTTTCCTGGGCTTCTCAAAAAAGGCTATATCATGTTACGAAGAGTATTAAATGCTGTGAGTAGGGCTTGTGGTCTGCCACTGAGTGAGCCCGGCAATACTATAGTCGAGAGACACATAAATTCCTGTACAAAATGGACAAAGGCTATACTGTCAAACCCTCTGCACCCCCTTTATTCACAACTATCCCCTTGTATCTCATCAGGTAGGACGAGAAGTCAATATTGCTCGTAGCACTAAGTACAGAAATTCTACAATACCCTATTTAGCCCGTACTTTATATGACGAAGACTCTGTTAGACGTGAAAAACATAAGTTACTATGTAATTAGCACAGTGAATCGACCCTTTCATTGTTCATCTTTCTGTATTATATGGTGTCACACTTTCTATCGTTTAATTATAACTTTGCTATTTTATTTTAGTTGTTATTACTATTATTACTACAATTTTGTACTTGATGCATATTTTTCTCCGTATTGCATACAGTAATTTGCTATGTAGCTGCCATAACAACGTTTTATTGCTATTATTATGTAATGTTTATTTTATTATACTTTTTGTCGTTTTTGAGTAAATTAGATGCAATATTGTACTGAATGCTGAAAAATTCCTTGCTGTATCATTAGTACTGTTTTTGGAATAAAGCAAATTATCCTTATCATTAGCATATCGATGGAAGCGATCAGCTAACACGTTCGAATCTCTCTTCACCTATTTCAGCCTAAGTGACTAAAGATTATCATTAATCTTTGCACAATAAGCTGCTTCCATTTCCTTCTTACACGACCTTTACCATATCAGCCTCAGATACCCACCCAACTCATCGTTTCCCATTGAGGCTACACACTCAAGCGTCTGGAGCGCGCGATTTCACTCAACTGCCTCGTCAGCATGTAACCAATCCATCACTCTACATTCGTTGGCATATTTTCTGGAAAATGGGTTGTTGGCTGGTTTCGATTCTGGTGTTCCTTGTTGTTTACATTTTGTAGACAGCAGTTTAATCTTCAGTATCAAACAAAGACAAGTTTGCAACAGTGGGATGTTTTATTCCTTCACGTTCCCAGTGGAGCATAGGGCTTCAAGCTTATTTTTACAGGATGGGGTTGCTAGCCAGCCTGATGCCCAAACCTTTCCTCTTTACCAACTTTATTTCTGGCTTAGCAAAGTAAAGGAGTGCATCTGTGGCCGAGGATCAAACCTCGAACCATGTGCATGATCGGCGAGCGTCCTAACGGCTGTACCACCGGCGCACGAACAGTGGGTATATATGCTTCAAATCTCTGAACCCTATAGAAGCGCTCTAACTTTAGGTTAATGTTAAAAATTCGAATAATTTTTCTTTGCACTGAGTATTGTATTGTCTTGGTTTCTCCATATTTGCCTTATAACACCAATATATGCATAAAATGCTGCTAACAATAATTATAACAATCACTTTATCCCAAATAATAATAATAATCATACACAACAGAATATTTCGGTGTTAAGTAATCGGATGAAAGAGAGAAGGAAAGCATATAGTTAGCAGCGCAAGGAAAGACCGATAACCACTTCTTTCTGAAAGCATAAATCAGGCTCCAGGAGCTTAACGGAGGTTTCTTTGGTAAACTTTGAACTCTTCAGCCTATTGGGAATTTCGAACGATCTTGCGACACCAACCTCAAGACCCATGTCAAGGAGGGGCTTCCTGATGGAACTGTCGAAAGCATAAGTTCTCTCGAGAGAAGCACACTTTTTCGTATATATTCGTTACTGATATGTATCCACATAATATGTGTGTTTGTTTTTGACAGTCTGTTATATTTTGCTATGTATATATAGATCGATATTCCATTATAACTGACAATGTTTTTGTCTGTCCACTAGCTAAACAAACATGTCTGACCTTGTTGTCACATGACATTACAATCAATCATGTTAAGAATGTCTATTGATTCGTTCATTTTTGAACATTAGCTCATACACTTGTGTAACATTGATTTTCCTTGTTTGAAAAAAATACAAGTATCATCGTGAACCTGGTGGTTTTCTGATTTCCGCCTTCTTGCGTCAGGACTATTAATTACTCGACCAGTACATAACAGTTACTACTATTCCTTTTGTCTCATATCCCTGTCCACTGTCTCTGTTTTGCATTTCTTCTACTTTCTTCTCTTGCTTTATGTGCTACAAGAAGGGAGTATGGCGACTTGAACTGCTGCACATCGATGGAAAGTTCTATGTTGAAAACAGACAGAGAGATTTCGATGATTCAACGATGCACAAATACAAATATTGAATTTACTATGGAACACAAAGCAACAGAAGAAAGCAGAAGAAATGCATAATAGAGAGACACTAAACAGAGGTGTGAGACAAAGGAATAGTAATAACGAAGAACAATATAGTTTCATTGGAAATCATAAGTCACAAGGAGTGGATGCATCTATGCCAGCTATTGACAACGATTTTGAGCCATATCACCAATTGTTTCCAGCCATTGGTTTTTACCGACTCGAGGACGCCAACCAGTAAGGAAATCTACACCGTCCTGCGTGACTAGCTGGCGTAAACCAACTGTTGTGGATTTGATTGACCGGTGAATCCATGTTTTGATTTGACCGCCGTTAGCTCTTTTCCAGCCTGACCCTAAATCAGCTTACATTGTTTGTCGAGGAAGGCTATGAGTAGGCATACATAACACATGTTCTAACTATCTCACTCAGTCGATGTAGCTTCACAGCCTAGTCGATTGATTTCCCCTGTTTACCTAGCACTCGACCGAGGCCTAACCTCAATATTGCTCACCTTATCATACCACTTCACACGGGAGATAGAACGCAGGTACCTATGATCGAAGACAGCTAATCTTTTCATGTCTTCAACTCTCAATGGCCAGGTCTCACTCACAGTCATAAAGGAGGACGGAGCGAACTGATGAGCAGTGCACCTGCCCTTCAGTCGATAGCCGGATATCACGACTACGCAAGAGACGGTGTAAACTGGCATATACGAAACTAGCCCTCTCTATCCGTGCTGAGATTTCATCAGCATCCAAGTAGGTAGGAAGCATGGCTTTCATTGTTGCACACTACCAAAGTATCATCGAGATATCGACAATATGAGGGAATAAATGTATGAAGGAACATTGTTTTCATAAAAACGTTTGAAATAACAAAATCAAATGAGATAATTACCTCTTCCAACGGTGCTCCTCTTAATATACAATCTTCAATGAAAGGATGCGCCTTATCCGACTCACAGCAGTTTAGAAAGTCTAATCATCAGAGAGAAAAATCAATAAAGTAAATTATTCAATCATGTAAGAATCAATTACCATTATTATTATTATTAGGCAATCAATATCAATGTTACATAACAACCACCTAAAATTGCATACAGATGGCAATGAATTACACACCTACTGAGTATGACAGACGGTTAAACTACCTGTCAGTACATCGAGTGAGATTCGAACCCATGATCTATATCAGTTGGAAGTCGACAGCCTCAACCAATAAGCTGCAACTCATACTAGGCGGTCAGAAATGCAATGATATAAAATAATGTTATTTGTCTCCGAAAACAAGAAAATACGCATAGAATATAACAGAGAATAATTTGCATATCAGTTAAGTCGATATTATGAAGAAGTGGTTGATTGAATAAAGCGGCGGACATTTAGCCATTTGGTTATGGTAACTGGGGGTAGCATTATCAGAGCCCCTTGAAATAAGTAAATTCTGTGTGTATACCATTATCCTATGATCACAATAAGAAAAGACACAGATCAGTATGCCTGTCTCAAGTAAATTCCTTATTCATAGAAACGTTTTGTAGAAAGAACATGATTACTATCATTGTCGTTAGTGCTGTCGATGCAGATACTAGGAGTTTGGAGTTAACACAGGCTAGGGTCAGACAAGGGTGCTTATTATCACTGGCGATGATATTCCTAATTGTAGTGGACTGAGTGGATTATCCGTCAGACAGTCGGAAACGAGAAGACAGGGATATCCTGGACCGACGTGAAGAACCTAGAAGACCTGGATTTCGCGCGTGGATGACTTATATTTGATGTCACACACAATCGAAGACTTATAAGCGAAGACCGACAAGCTACTGGTCGAAGAAGCAGACGGCGAAGACAGGACTCCAGTTGACCATAGGTGAACAAGACGGAGATTATGAAAATAACCAACCAACAACAACAATAGCAACAACATCCATCGCCAATCACCATCAATGGGAGGGATTTGAAAGAGGTTACTTCATTCATTCACTTATCTAGCATTCAGCATTGTCTCAACTACAGGAAGTCGGAACGGACGAGGATGTCAAATCGAGCGAGAATCGGGAAGGCGAGAAACACATTCATCCATCAACCTGAAACCAATCTGGAAATCTTCGTCACTCAACCAGCATCAACAACAAAATTCGGTCGGATTTTCAATACAAACGTCAAGTCAGTCAGTTCTTCTATACGGATCAGAAACTTGGCGGGCGGGTCACAAACAATATTTCCAACAGCCTGTTGCATGCAGACCTTTATCAACCAACAACTGTCTTCGCTGGCTCTATACTGAAGATCAGATGGCCGGGCCGGAAAGAATCACCAACAAGAAACTCCGGCTGGGAACAAACAAAACAAGAGCCAATCACCCAACAAATATGCGGGAGAGAGTGGAGATGGATTGGATACTCGCTGAGGAGGCCGCTGGGTGGCATCGCGCGTCAGGTCATTGCTTGAGAGGAACCCGAAAGGGAAGTGGCGAGTGGGACGTACAAGGGTGACATGGAAGAGATCGTGTGAAGAGGAGGTGAGACAGTATGGACTGACATGGATGGAGGTGAAAAGTACAGCAGAAGACAGAAGTGGCAATTGGAGACGTGCAGTTGAAACCCTATGTTCCACTAGGAACCCAAGGGAACAAAAATAATAATATGTCGATGCAGAACTCTGCTCAGAACACTCCGGATTAAGAAGAAGTAAATCATATGCACACCGAACAGCAACTCTTCACATCGTCGTCGAACAGGTCATAGAATGGCAGTAAACGCCTTACTTCAACACCGTCGACTTTGAAAAAGTCTTCGACAAAGTCGACAGTGAAGTAACTTAGAAACTGCTCTAATCTCTGCGTAGTGCTCCAAGCCTTTATCAATCACATTTAACAGCTCTATAATGATGCCACAAGTCAAGTGTTTCACAACAGAAACTTCAGTGAAGCCTCTGAAGCGAAGACAAGAGTTAGATAAGACTAGGCCTACTGTCACTGATGATATCCCTGCTTCAGTGAACTGGATCATGTAGCAGACTGTGGGAAGCGAGAAAAAAAGGATACGTTGGACCGCTGACGAGACGACTCTAGACGATTGGGATTTCGCAGACGATTTGTGTCTAATCTCACATAAACTCAAAGGTCACAGGAGAAAACCAAAAAACACGGCAGAAGAAGTAGCCAGAAAAGACAGAGGCGATGATGATATTCAACTACCAAAAACAACAACCAATCACCATCAATGGGAGAAATTTAGGGGGAAATCATCTCTTTCACTTTTGGTTACAGGATTTCATTATAACCATTGGAAAATCAGCAGGGAGTACTGGACAGCTGTTTCCTCCGTCCCAGCTTGGGACTCTTCATCAGCGCGCGCCCATCACAGGGGGGTAGAACCCAGGGCCTTCTGGTTGCAAAGCCAGAGAGCTCATAGACCATTAAGCCACTGAGACGCGATCCAATGTCCAGCCCATGAATTCCAACTTCTGTCAATTCACGACATACGGCAACCTCTAGCCAGTGTCGTCGTAGAGTATTTGTCCTCACGCCCAATCTGCTGTATCCCAACTGGTCACGACTCCCCACTAGAACCCCAGGTAACTACATGTTTGAATAGGTAGGGATATCGTTTCAACTACAGGTGGTATGGATGAAAATGTTAAAACCAGGATCGGAAAAACAACATCAACCTTCATTACTTTCAAACCATAATGGAAATGTGCTTCACTCAACATAAAGAACAAGATTCACACTTTTCAACACTAATGCCAAATAAATTCTCTCATATGGTTCAGACAACTTGGTGCAAGCGTCACAGAAGGCATTTGCGACAAGCTACGGCAAACCTTCATCAACAGTTGCCTTTTGTTCTATATCGAAGATCAGATGATCAGCCAGAAAGGATAGGCGACAATGAAATTCAGGCAATAAATCGACTAAGAACCGATCGCCCCAATAAATATGCAGAGAAGAATGGATAAGACATACGTACTCTGAAGAAGAAGGCGTCAGACCCATGAGTGGAGCCCGTATTGGAAATGATGGGTTGGATACTCGAAGGACATCAATCTAAGCAATTCTGAAGCCAGATAAAACGGACTGTAGACAACAGGAAGAAACAAAGATGTACAGTTGAAGCTCTATGTTCCACTCAGAACCAAAGGGAATAATGATTGTTATTATCTCATTAAGGAAAATCTTAGAGAACAAAATAGCTATCTGAGTCAAACAGAAAATTTTTTTTGGTCATTTTACACAAACTAGGAAACATCGACTCAAAATAAGATATACCAAAGATTTTATCTGAGCTAATGGAATTATTTTTCTCAGATTGCATATAAGTAAGTCTATCATAAGAATGTTGTCGCCTTAGATTTGAAACATATCTGTCACGATAACAAAGTTTAGAAACAACGGATATTATAAGATAACAAATATCCTACTCGAGTTAACAGCCTAATCACGATTGGTTAAGTGGCTAAAACGATTCCGATCTGGAAGAATTTCTTTACGCTGAGTGTTATTTCTTCAAATTATTTTATACAATTGATGATGACAATAATCCATGTTTGCGTTCTACCTCCTGTGTTTGGTGGTACAGTAAGGTGAGCAATAGTGAAGTTAGGCGTCGAATGTTAGTTGAGGAGAGAAAATCAATCGGTGAGGTTTCGAAGTCACATCGATTGAGACGGTTCGGAAATGTGTTACACATGATGCCTAGCCATCGCCTTCCTTCATAACGGGTGATGTTAGCCGCTGAAATAGAATGGATGGATGGATCAGGTTGGAAAAGAGCTAGTGATGGTGGTGGTGGAACCAAAACATGACTTCATCAGTCAATGAAATCCATAACAGTTAGTTTAAGCCAGCCAGCCAACCTCATTGGGAGCTGTAGACTAGTTGGCTATTTGGCTGGGGTCATCGTGATAGTAAGAACCAATGAAGGCTGAAAACAATTTGTCATTTGGCTCAAAATCCTTCTCAATAGCTGGTGCACATGCAATCACTCCTTGTAATTTATAATATCCAGTAAAAGTCTATTTTTCTTTCACACAAATATTCTTTGTGTCTCACATTTCTGTTTATTATTTCTGTTTTCAACCTCCCTTTACTCACTTCTCTTGTGTTGTGTGCAACAAGGAAGGAGTATGATAACTCAAGCTAGTGCACGTCTGTGCAAAGTTCTATGCTGAATCCAGTCAATCATAATCCCCGTTGATATATCCAACGTAATTGATCAACTGTATTTGGATATATGGACTTCTTGAACAAAAGTATCCATCTTCAAAGGATTAATAATAACTCAGAGAATCTTGTTTTTGTGTTAAAGGCGGGGAGGGGGTTAGCACATGAATCAATGAGGCATGTTTCACATCCTAACTGTAGTCTGCAGGTTGGATATGCTTACGCTCCAGCGACTGATGGTATTCCCTCATAAAGAATTAAACCTAGTGGCTATTGAAGCGATGTACTCGGAGTTTGAGTTTTACAGATAGAACACACCACCGCTCACTGGAGTGAAGAACATTCGGCTGATGAGTTCAGAATAGGACGAAAAAAATATGAGTTCTAGATTTAATTTTTATTTACTTGTTGGTGAATTATGAAAATATAGCTGAAAACAACAAAATAATGTAAAACAACAGGAATAAACATACGCACACACACACACCTTGTTGAGCTTTTAAACCCGACAGAAAGTCATCAGTGCTTACACGTTTCTGAATATCTTCTGCTAGAAGAGTATCTGTAAATATAAATAGATGAATGTATTATTAACAATGAAATTAAAGAAAACAAGATCTATGTTCAGATTAGATAAGGAAACCTAGAAATGTAAAATTGAGTGTTTACGGAATATCTATATGACTTTAGTCAAATTTTTGTAATAAATGTAAGGTGTCTACTACGAGAAGCTTGAGAGTACTATACAACAATGCATTCTGTCCTACTTGATGGCGGAGAACCTATAACAATAAAAGGCAGAATGACTTTCATCAAACGGAATTTCCTATGAAGCGGTGAAGAGAGACCTAGAGACCTCAGTGGATATGGTTATGCCATTATTGCAGAAGGTTTGGAAGGAAGAAAAGGTGTTTATCGATTGGAAGAAAGGCTGGTTACTCTATCAAGCTGCCAAAGAAGGGTGACTTAAGCATATGCAAGAACTGGCGTGGAATAATACTCTTGCCTACACCAAGTAAAATACTCAATCGCAGCATCCTGGGGAGATGCACTGGGTGCAGAACTCTGCCCCATCACAACAAGCTGGATTCGGGAAAGGCCAATTATGTGCTGATTCAATTTCAACTCCACGCATCATCATCGAACAGAGCATATAATTGGAGTCAAACCTCTACTTCAACTTCATCAACTTTGAAAAGGCCTTCGACAGAGTTGACCGAGAAGTATTTTGGAAATTAATTCAACACTACAGCATGCATGGCTTAAATTTTATCAACCTCAGTTAACAGTTATATGACATTGCCACATGTCAGGCGATCCACAACATAAAGCTCAGCTAAGTCATTGAAGCGAGTAAAGAATTACGACAAGGCTGCCTACTATCACCGACGATATTCCTAATTGTGGTCGACTGGATTATGCGTCACACTATGAGGAGCGAGAAGACAGGAATATGTCAGACCGGTAAGAAGACACTAGAAGGTCTGGATTTTGCGGAAGACTTGACACTAACTCGGAGACCTACATGCGAGAACCAACAAACTGGTTGAAGAAGCAGTGAAAACAGAACTTGAAGTGAATGTAGAGAGGATGGAGGTCATGAAGATAACCAACAACAGCAAGCACCAATCACTATCGACGGCAGAAAAAATTTGAAAAAGGTTACATCAGTATAAAGAACAGGATTCGGATTATCAATACCGATGTGTAGTCAGTAAGTGCTTCCATACGGTTCAGAAACTTCGCGCGTCTTATAAAGTATCTCCAACAAGACACTGCAAACTTTTATTAAAAGTTGCCTTCGCTGTCTACATATAGAAGAACAAAAGGCCAGCGAAAATGGACTACCAACAAGGAACTCTGGAAACAAACCAAACAAGAACCTATTGCTCAAAAAATATGTAGGAGAAAATGCTGGTGAATTGGACATACGTTGAGGAGATCGTCGAATGACATTCCATGCAATGCAGGTCATCTCTCGGGTAGAACTCGAATGGGAAACGACGAGTCGGGCGTGTGTTCGAGGGTGACGTGGAGGAGATTGTGCGAGGAAGAGATAAGAGAGTATGGGCAATGGTAAGTCCAGGTAAATAGGACCCTAGAAATTATGACAAAGTGGAGATGTGGTGTTGAAGCCCTATATATCACTCAGAACCCTAGGGAATCATGTAGCCAATGAAGATGTGATCAGAGAGCATATTAGTATACGTTAGGGGATAAGGTTGAAAACTTAAATTGTGTGAAGAAAGACTCAGGACCGATTGTAATCATGTAGATGCAAACATACTGTATCCTTACCTTAGTTATATAATCATTTACCTTCACCCTTTTGTTCCGCATACTAGAATTCAATAAAGTCTAACATTATTCGGAGAGTGACTTGTTTCTTCCCAAGTGGATCTCGCCTTATGATGGAACATGATGGGAACATATTACAAATTAAGACAGAATATGAACTCCAAACCAGTGGGTTATTAATTGCATGATCTTCTTGTTACTTCGTGTCACCAGGGTCGATGCAACATTTGAAAAGTTTCCAAGTAATCAAAAAACCCAGATGACTGAGTGTGACTGTCTCGTTTTATTCTCAATGGTTCTGTAATTAGTTTGCATTACTTCATTTTGAAGAGTTGGTTTGTTTTCAAGTTCGACCACAGAGTGATATCAGTTAGAGAAGCACTAAAAACCAGTGGGGATTAGTGGACGGCTGTTTCCGCCTAGTTTGGGACTCATCAATAGTACCCATCCACTGGAATTCAAACCAAAAACCTCCCAGTTACAAGACGAGTTCAAAGACCATTCAGCTACTAGGACCCGACTTCTCAATGGCCAGTCCACGAGTTCTAACTTCCACTAATTCAACTGTCACCCGCCAATGTCATTTCTGACGAGTATTAGTCCTCCCTACCGACCTGCTAGTAGACCGCATTGGTCACGACTTCTCGTTAGAACCCCAGATAAATTCGTGTAGCAGCCAATCACTAGTGGGAGTTTCAATGGATCTCTAACACGATATCTATCCATTTTTGAATTTTGATGTATAGGCAAAAAGTGGTTAGCGATCAAGTCATTTTGATCCTTCAGTTTCACTACCATAAACATACTTTACAATGTATCCTTCCACCAATATTTATGAAAGAAAGAAGAACTTACGTATTTCAAGTTCTGATCGTTTTAATCGAATATCTGGTATTTGACTAACTACACGGCGTAAATCCGACAACTCTTTGGCTGATTTAGACTCCTTAATACGAAAATAGAAACAGAGAGAAAGAATAAACAAGAGTGAATAAATAAAGGAGGTGTCAATGCTCGTGAGCATTGAAAGGTTTGTTTATCCGAACTGGTTTTCATATCGGCGGGAGACAAGAAAACTGCCATTGCTTAATCGTGTACTGGTTGGCAGAGGATCGGAGAAATACAATGAGAAGTATTGTTGTATATTAATTATATTAGCGTTTATTTACAGACATTTGTATATTTACAGAATAAACAAGCGCGTTGCCTAACCCATTTTCTGTTATTCAGCATTTTAAGCATAGTCTTCTGAAATCAGAGATAGATTCATGATCTCTGAGATCTGAACATTTGACAGAAGGCTTCCATAATAATTTGTTTATTAGACATATATCATACGCAGTGAAATATTATTATTCGCTGGATAACAAAGTTTCAAACACAACTTTTATCACACTCCTCGTAATCATATATCATCAATCAGACACTGAACAATTTCGAAAATGTCATGTTTCGGTTCTCTTTATTCCCTTTCTATTCGTCATCGTATGGGTAGAACAAATTTGCACACATGTCAGGCTGGACAGGTGTTGAATCATTTCTATTACACGTGTTTGCAGTTGGAATCGATGAATAAAGCATCCGTTGTTACCAATCTCTCCCTCTCCACCGTGTTATATTAAATTTTACGACTGCCATCCTTATCCTATCCTGTTATATGATTGTGTGTCATTGCATGTAGTGCTGTCTACGGCTGATCTGTTCTCCAGATTTCTTAATCTTATTACAGTTAAATAATCTAGATTTTGCTGTTTTTTGTGCTCCGCTGGGATGTCTGTCTGTTTTCGACATAGAACATTGCACATATGTGTATAAGTTCAAGTCGCCACACTCCACCCCTTGTAGCACACAAAGCAAGAGAAGAAAGTAGAAGAAATGCATAATAGAGAGACACTAAACAGAGGTGTGAGACAAAGGAATAGTAATAACGAAGAACAATATAGTTTCATTGGAAATCATAAGTCACAAGGAGTGGATGCATCTATGCCAGCTATTGACAACGATTTTGAGCCATATCACCAATTGTTTCCAACCATTGGTTTTTACCGACTCGAGGACGCCAACCAGTAAGGAAATCTACACCTTCCTGAGTGACTAGCTGGTGTAAACCAACTGTTGTGGATTTGATTGACCGGTGAATCCATGTTTTGGTTTGACCACCACTGGCTACCTCATTTCCAGTCTGACCCTATATCAGCTAACATTGCTCGTCGAGGGAGGCGATGACTTACGTAACATACGTAACACATGTCCTAACCATCTTAGTCTCTGTAACTTCACGACTTCGTCGATTGATTTCTCCTGTTTACCTAGAACTCATGCTACACTATTTTTTCTCAGGTATATTTTTAATCATTCTAGTCATTCTGAATTCCTCGTTGATCTCTTTTCTCTGCGTTTGTAGGCTACATGAAGCGTGACAATCAGGACTACTGGACTACTGTACAAGGTTCTATGTTCAAATTTAGTCAGTCAGTCAGGCAGTGATTTTCAGGATGTTTAAAGAAGTTTTCTAAGATTGTTTAGTTTTGTCGAGTAATATAATACTTCAGACTGAAGTTAAACTTCAAAATCAATAAGATTATAACTTCTAATAATTTCCAAGTATTGGTTTGTAGGAATCTTGTTTGATTGCATGGAGGATTTCATCATGAGCTGACATCAGTTAGAGAACCACAGGAAAACTTGGGAATACTGGACAGCTGTTTCCTCATTCCTAGTTTGGGACTCTTCATCAGTACACATCCACCGCGATTCGGACCTCCTGGTTACAAAGCGAGCTCGTAAACCATTGAGCCACTGGGACCCGATCCAATGGTCCTTGAATTCTAACTTCTGCCAACTCTAATCGTTTGTTTTACTCTCATGATTAGAAGTTAATGACTTGAAACAAGCTTCTTCTTGTTTCTTGTATAGCTGTTTCTGTCGACTTTGGGACTCTCTAACAGTGCACACCCATAACCACATCACCCGCTTTGGATCAAGCAACCATGATCTTTAGATTTTACAAGGCGAGCTCATTAACTACTGAGCTACTGTGTTGAACTCTCAGAGTACTTCAAGAAACCTTTTTTTTCATGTACCAAGCCTTCCTCGACAATGTTAGCCTCTGACATAGGATGGATGGATGAATCAGGTTGAAAAAGAGCTTACACCAGGTAGTCACACCAAAATATGGTTTCATCAGTCAATGAAATCTATAACAGTTAGTTTAGGCCAGCTAGCCAGGCAGCCTCGTTGGGGGCTGTAGACTAGTTGGCTGGCTGTTTGGCTGGGGTCATCGTGATAGTAAGAACCAATGAAGGCTGAAGACAATTTGTCATATGGCTCAAAATTCTTCTCAATGACTGGTGCACATGCAATCACTCCTTGTGATTTATCACATCTAATAAAACTCTATCGTCCTTTTACACAAATATTCTTTCTGCCTCATATTTCTGTTTATTATATCTGTTTTGAATCTATCTCTTTGGTCTCTTGTTTTGTGTGCTACAAGGAAGGAGTGTGGCAACTCGAACTGTTGCACATCTGTGAAAAGTTCTATGTTGAAACCAGACATACTTATAATATGAAGGTTTGTGATACTATCCAGTTTGTCCAGGTTGAGGTAGGGGATGCAGGGGTTATCGGGATTTGAATCCAGGACTGATCGACTCTAGACACGTCGAGTATTTAAGCCAGCCGGGCAGCTCACAAGCTACATCTCAACATCATGCATAGAAAAGAAATTAATCTCCTCAACGATTGAGTATAAACGACTTCCGAAAACAAACGAAACAAGTTAAAAAAGAAGACAAACTGTAAATACACATTATTAGGCAACAACACTTACTGCGACAAGTGCAGAAATTTCTTTTGTAAGTTGTGATAAAGTAAGTCCTACTTTAGAAAAATTTTGATCTCTTATTTCTGCATATACCATATCTGTTGAATTGAGCATTACCTTTCTTGATGTTTCGTTTTCTGATGAAAAACACGGCTTACAAATACCTGTGGAAATAATAATAAATAAATAAATATTTTATTATTTATTTTTCTTTAAATGATTTTTGATCGGATGGACAGTAGAGTAGGGTAACACAGCTGGCGTTTACATTATTAATTATTTGACCAAAACTTTCTTCTTATTGGTCAGCGCATTATTTTGTAGCTTAACCACTGGTGGACAGTTGGTCATATTGGTAATATGTATGAAGGTCATTGGTTGCCGACGTAAGAGTAATGTCAGATATTAGGAGAAGAAAAATAGGGGGAGGGAACGCTGGTCAGCAAACAGTCAGCTCCAGTTACACGTAGATAAGCTACATTTTTCTGTGTGTGTGTGAGAGAGAGAGGAGTGAAACCTCCATGATGAGCAGAGTAGCCTTCATGATTTAATGACTGAAAGTCAACCTCCCAGATTAGAATATTTCTCATAATGTAAATAAAAGTTTGAACATGGATATCTAACGAATAAACAGTGTGTCGGTGGCTTAGAGGTAGAATGCAGGCCGACCACACCAAACGTGCTCCAGGATTCGGTCCCCAGCCGATGCTGGTAATAAGATCGGTAAAGAAGGAAGGCTGGGTATGAGGCTAGTAACCTCACTCCGTAAAAGTAAACACTGCTACCAAAAGTTCAAAGCTCTAGCTTGAAGCACTATGTTTCACTGGGAACGTAAAGGAATTTAAAAAACGAATAAACACTATTAAAAGATTTGAAGTAATAACCAGCGGAGATTAGGAAACAAATCATTCACATAACACGGATTCGTATGCAATCGTATGTTGAGAAATAAGGCAGATTAACCTTTGTTCTCTTCCTCAGCTACCATGGAGCTACAGTGTTCCCCGGCTATGCAAATTCAACAAACAATTGAAATACAAGACTGTGATATTCATTTTGAATATGATAAATAGAAAAAGTAGGAGGCTTCATTTAAATTGTGATCTGTGATCCAACTGAATATTGGAATATCAAATTCTACGTTAAAAAACACACTTTTGTTGATATTAGATAGTTGGAGGCAATCGGAAGGAAGCTTTGGACCTAGATTTCGTGCTAGTTAGCACTCGTCAGTAAGGCGTGACTGCAGCCTTGAAGGAACTCATATCATTTCTGAGAATCGACCCCGCGTCATCCAGTGAGTAATGCAGTCAAAAAGAGACGTTACCACTGAGCTATTCAGACTGTATTGGATACTTTCATTGGACACAAGTGCCTAGTGTGATTTGTTGAGTCCTTTTATGGTGCAGACTAAATTCTATCAAGAGTTTAGACACGCCTTGCTGACGAGTGCCAACTAGCACGAAACCTAGGTTGGACAAGGCTTTCTGTGGCCGACTGCCTCCAACCAGCTAACATCAACAAGTGCATTATGATGGCGAGCTACCTAGAATGGTGGCCACATCGCAAACCTATGTATGGCTGTTGGACGATAGGTCTTTGGATTGGTTCGTCCTCAGAATTTCGTATTGCTTATGCTTAATTTAAATGGAACAAATGAGCCAATTCAATGAGTAAACAATACTGGCTATCTATAGCCAGCTTCTACGCAAACTTCAAATGTAAATGAACTTCTAAATCTTTAGACGTTATGACTTTGAAGTCCGTTACTTCCAATGAATGTTTCACGTACTAAGCTGAGTGCAACGCAATGATAATAATAATAATAATAATAATAATAATAATAATTTACTTTATTCCAAAACAGTACTTCTGATACAGAACGGAATTCTCAGAATTTTACTACAATATTGCATCCAGTTTGCACATTAACAATAAATAAAATTCTACATAGATTAAGGGTAATCTCAGTTAGTTATGACAACAACATATTGGCATGTCGGTAGCAAAGCCAAAAATTGAACAGAGTGTTTGATAGTGTTAGAAAAGTAGATGCTAGCACATTTACTGGCGTAAGCGCAGAAGAAAGAAACAAAGCACCAGCGGAAAAAAGAAAAAAGAGAGAGAAAAGGAAAAGAGAGAAAGAAAACGTTGTTGTACAGCAACAACAGACCACAATAAGCATAAATGGGAAGAACCTGAAAGAAACAACCTCCTTCACCTACCTGGGAAGCATCGTCTCAACTACAGGCGGAACTGACGAGGACATCAAAGCCAGAATCGGAAAAGCAAGACAAGCTTTCATTACTCTCAAATCTGTGTGGAGGTCAACAGCAATCAGCATCAAAAATAAGATCCGGATTTTCAACTCCAATGTGAAGTCAGTGCTACTATACGGATCAGAGACTTGGCGAGTCATAAAGAGCATCTCAAACAAACTTCAAACCTTCATTAACAACTGTCTCCGCTCAATACTCAAGATCAGATGGCCAGAAAAGATCAGCAACAGGGATCTCTGGGAGCGAACCAATCAGGAGCCGATTGTGAAACAAATAGGCAGAAAGAAATGGAGATGGATTGGCCATACGCTGAGGAAACCATCAAGTGACATCACTAGACAAGCCCTCGAGTGGAACCCGAAAGGGAGGCGGCGAGTTGGTCGTCCAAGGGTGACTTGGAGGAGGTCATGTGAAGAGGAGATGAAAGCATGTGGGCAGACCTGGAGCAGGTTGAAAAAGTTGTCAGAAAACCGAAGTCAATGGAGGTGCGCAGCTGAAGCCCTATGTTCCTCTAGGAACTAAAGGATACAATAATATAATAATAATAATAATTTAAATGATATGTGAGTTGGAAAGACGAGATCAAGTTGTTGTACTGACTATTTAATAAGTTGTAGGCATCACGCCTAATCCATTCTTTATCGCACAGAACACGAGCTAAGTAGGGTATGGTTGAGTTTTTGGACTCTCTTGTGCGAGCATATAGTTTTGCATGATGAGATACAAGGGGAGAGTTGTGAATGAAGAGGGTAGTGTGAGTTAGATAGATAAAATGGATTTAGCCCATTTTTCACATGAGTCCAAGTGCTTGTCGACCAGAATATTAACAAGCTGGTTAAGTGGCACTCTGTGTCTTACCCTGCTGGCAACCTTTAACATCCTGTGTAATAAGGTATAGTCTTTCTTCAGTAGCCCTGGGAAAACTAAGGGGGAACAATAGAGAATAATAGGCAGAATGCAAGAGTTAACGAATCGTAAGAGCAAGGGTTGGGTTATACCAAAAAGTCCTAACTTCTTGATGTAGAAGGTAAGACGGAATATTTTCTTAGAAATCATCAACATATGAGACGACCAGGAAAGATCAGCAGATAGAATGACGCCAAGATATTTAATTTTTGACTCGGTCTCTATTTCAGTGCCATCTATTTTGCACACCTCGACTATCGACCAAAGGGCGGGTGTACTGCTCATCAGTCCGCTCCGTCCTCCTTTATGGTTGTGAGACCTGGCCACTGAGAGTGGAAGACATGAAAATACTAGCTGTCCTTGATCATAGCTGCCTGCGCTTTATTTCCCGTGTAAAGTGATATAATAAGGTGAGCAACATTGAAGTTAGGCCTCGGTCGAGTGCTAGGTAAGCAGGGGAAATCAATCGACGAAGTCGTGAAGTTACAAAGACTGAGATGGTTAGGACATGTGTTACGTATGTTACGTAAGTCATCGCCTCCCTCGACGAGAAATGTTAGCTGATATAGGGTCAGGCTGGAAAAAAGCTAGCGGCGGTCAAACAAAAACTTGGCCTCACCAGTCAATGAAATCTACAACAGTTGGTCTAAGCCACGTAGGAAGGTGTAGACTTCCTGATTGGTTGGGGTCCTCGGGACGGTAAAAATCTATGGTTGGAAACAATTGGTGACATGGCTCAAACTCATCGTTCTCAGTGGCGCAGATGCATCCACTCCTTGTGACTTATGATCTCCAATGAAACTGTTTTGTTCTTCGTTATTACTCCTTTGTCTCACACCTCTGCTTACTGTCTCTATTATGCTTTTCTTGTACTCTCTTCTCTTGCTTCGCGTGCTACACGGAGTGTGGCGACTTGAACTGGTGCACATTTGTGCAAAGTTCTATGTCGAAAACAGACAGACAGACACCTCGTGAGCGCTAACCAGTTTGTTTAGGTCAGATTTATGCCTAAAGATGAAATTGACTATTTGGCATTTGGAGGGATATAAGGTTAGGGTTAGACAGCTTTCCTTGGAGCACTGGCTTATTTCTGATAAAAAGCTATTTAGTTTGGAGCAGTCACTTTGACACTTGGCATGCAAAGATACAATCAGGTCGTCAGCATATTTAACAAAGTTAATATTATTTGAAGACGGCAAGTCATGTAGAAAGAAAGAAAAAAAGAGAAGTGGGGAGAGTACAGCACCTTGGGGGACACTAGCTTCAGTGAGCACAGCAGATGAGGATTCACCTTTGTATTGCAGCCTTTCTAATATAGTTATGTTTGCAGATGAGTTTACTGAATTCGCTGCTCCTGCATTCGGAAACTCGTTGTCTATAGTCTGTGGTGATTTTAATTCATGTGATCACAGCTTTCTTACTTCGCTTGGTCATGAGAATCTAGTCAAGTTTAATACACGTCTGGACAAATCGCTAGACCTGGTTTTCATAAATGACCGTGATGTATATGAAACCCGAAGGAGAGCTCCTTTGTTAAATTCTGACCACTGCATTATTCGTATTTTACCGAAAGTGTACGGCAAGTTACAACGAAAATTGTTTAGTCATTTAACAAAGAAGATACATGAACGTTCATATTCCCATGACAACATTCTAGCATTAAGAAGCATGTTGCATGATACCAACTGGGAACTGTTTACTGACGATAAGTTGGATGCTACTGTCTCAAATATAACCGATTATCTGAAGTTTTGTTTGGATATTTGCTGTCCTTATGAAACACTGTTTTCGAGATTTGACAGAATCTCTTCTTTGCAACTCAAAAAACTTAGAAGACAAAAAGAGAAGTTGTATAAGAATTGTGATAATACTGGTGTCCGTAAAATAAACACCCTTATAAAAATTGAAATAGAAAGGTTGAACAGACTATATAATGAAAAATTTTTATCATGTAAAAATCCTTCAAACATTTGGAAACT